TCTTATGTCCTCATACAACGTATTTACATTAAGATCTTTGTGGATATTAGTATTTTTTATCACCCGTATGCTGTAATCCGAAAGTTCGTAGTTACGAATTCGTAGCTCCGTTCCGAAAATTCGAAAATTGGTATGCTGTAATCCGATCGTAACTATCAGCAGCGTTGCCAACTAAAATAGTGAAATTCGAAGTTCTTAATCAGCTGCTTTGACAGAAACAAATCAAAATAAATATAATCGCAAGTGAATAGTGAAATTTAAAAAAAAAAATTAGTTTAATCATTATTTGAAAAACTTTTTCTTAATTAAGTAGAATACAAAGGATTCAGTGGCCGGTGCACTTTTGCCCCAGGAGGAAGAACAGCTAACAGTGGCATTAATATACAATGGAGGTTGTGCTGATCCATTTAGCTTAAATGATAAAATGTAGTCTCCCTCCTTTTAAGGGCCTCCCTTTCACTAGATATTGTGCCGCTTTAATTCTTGGAACGCTTTCCCAAATTCCACCACATCCTCTTTAGCTCCTTTAACAAAGCCTCGACCAATGTCCGGCCTTTTGCTCATGCATTCCACCAGTTTTTCGTATTGCGAGCGATTTGTTGTGATCTTCGATCTGTTAATTTTGTAAACTTTAATAATATATTTTTTTTTCTATTCACACTTCAACTTACATACATATTTTTGTGTTTACACACTTTATTTTATTGATATTTTAAAAAAATTTGTTTCGCTCCGACACGAGTTGCTATTCGTACAAAATTTCCGACAAATACATTAAAATGACAGCTACGTCAGATTCAGGCATACTAACATTACGAATTTCCAAGATTGCCTACGAATTTCGAATTTACGATACGACAACGCGGATTTCAGCATACCAATTTTACGATTCCTAGCAAAATCGAATCTACGACGGATTACAGCATAGGGGTGTATGTACCACGGTGATCCGCATATGGCGCGTAAAATTTTCGACTGCAGTCTTTGAAATCTCTTCAAAATGGAATTACCCGCTGTGCCCCAAAGCCCAATTCCATATGCACATCATGGTTTAATCATCATATTAAAAATCAAAATCTTGTTTTCTAGGCTTAATTTAGATTTGAGTCCTATAACCCATTCCTCCGCTAGGGCAGGCACTTTGCCGTTGGTGCGGGGGCTTAGTAAGGGGTTGGAGCCGACCCCTTCGTCTGCACTTGTCTCTGGTGGTGCCAGTGGGAACCCACCGCACCTAGACTCGGGGTTAGGGGCGAATTCGCCTGCATGCAGGACGGTGGCAGGGCCGGCCAGGAAAACACGCGATGACCGTCGCATGGCTACCAAGATCCTGGCGCGCTACTAGAGTGCGATCGCTAGAGTGGGCCAGGAGGGTGATAAGCGACGGCCAGGAGGGCTGTGGTGAGGGTGTTTCTGGGGATGCGAGCGCATCCCGTATTGACCCTGTCAAGCGGCAGAGATCGCAGGGGAGGGAAACCCCTCTAACCAAGAAGCCCAGTGCGGGAGGGACGCCTAAGCTCTTAGCGAGATCGCCAAACAGGCGGGCTCTATCACTCTGGGCGTTTTGGATCGGGGTAAGGAGGAAGGGGCCATCGCCAGGGAAGACTGGAGGAAGGTGTCGGGGGCCTTATCAGGAGTTTTCATGAGGGTGTTCAGGGAAAACCCGGGGCCACCGCCGCGGTGCGAGAGTGCTGGTTGGCACCAGGGTATGTTTAAGAAGGTGGTGTGCGCCGACGAGCGGTCGGCCTGGCTCTACAGGGTGGCAGTAGCTTTGGTCGGGGAGGTGTGGAAGTGAGCCAGACTCGAGGTTGTGGACANCAGGGCGGCAGTAGCGTTGGTCGGGGAGGTGTGGAAGGAAGCCAGACTCGAGGTTGTGGACAAGGGGGACCTTCAGTCGCGTTCGCATGCTCGGGTCTGGCTTCCCTCGGCACCTTCCTCGCGGAGGGAGGGGGAAGATATCTTCCGATACTGCAACCCGGACCTTCCAGCGCACTGGAAGGCAATCCAGTTTGAGAGTTCCGACGGTGACTCCCGGCAAGCGCTGATGTTGCTGAATACGGAATCTCTCAAGCCTCTCGTCGAAAAACAGGGAGTCATCTACTATGGCTTCGAGAAGGTAGTCATGAAGGTCTACCAGGCTGACTCCAGGGGAGATGACGAGCCTGTTCCGGTTGCGCTGGCAGGCGTAAATACGAATGCGGAGGATGCCCCCTTAGGTATGGAGGTCGAATCCGTAATGTCGGACAGTGACAGCATTGCTGGCCCTCCTTCAACTGCGGGATCGGTCATCTCTGTTGGCCCGCTGTTCGACAGGGCGGAGGAGGAAATGCTCCTTGCTTCCGATGGGGATGGCGCCTGCGGAGGGGTACTGGAGAGGATTTCGGAGGATGAATATTCTTCAGATCAATCTTCAGCACTCTAAGGCGGCGTCAGCCAACCTCTTGATCCGCCTTGAGTAAGGTGGAGTTGATGCAGTCCTGATCCAGGAGCCGTGGCTGAGCAGCTGCAATAAGGTTTCTGGTATCGGGACGAGTGACTACAGACTGGTGGTGCAGCGGGACGCAGGTAGACCTCGATCCTGCATGCTCATCAGGAAGGAACTTAATACTTTTATTCTGCCTCTTTTCAGCGATGGTGACATTGTGACGGTGAGCCTGGAGGGTGCAACCGGAGAACTCTGGTTGATCTCCGCTTATATGGCGCACGAGAACGGGGTAGAGCCACTTCCGCTCTTAATAAGGAATGCGGTGGCAGAAGCTAGACGCAGGAGGGTCCGCGTTGTTATTTGGTCTGACGCGAATTCCCACCATACGATTTGGGGCAGCTCAGACATCAACAGTAGAAGTGAGTCACTCTTTATCTTGATTCTAAATGAAAATTTATGTATATGTAATAGGGGGAGCGACCCCACGTTTGTAACGGCAAGTAGAGAAGAGGTTTTAGATATCACGCTGGCCTCTTCTGATATAATGTCCCGTATATCTGGCTGGAGAGTCCTTAGTGACCACTCCTTCTCCGATCATGGGTACATACAATTTGCTTTGGACGAAGCGCGTCCTAAGCACGAACCTTACAGGAATCTGAGGAAAACCAACTGGGACTCATACTGCAGAAGTCTGCAGGAAATGCTTCCGGTTGCGCCCGTGAGGGGCGGGACCTGGACTGAAAGCGAAATTGACGAATTAATTGGTGTGTTCACCACCTCATGTAAAAGGGCCATTGATATGTCTTGTCCCCTGAGTTACCACAAAGGTACGAGCAAACCACTTTGGTGGTCGGAGGAGCTCTCCGATCTTAGGGCCTCGAGCAGAGGCCTTTTCAATAGGGCCAGGAAGATTAAATTAGCCTCCGACTGGGCACAGTATAAGATTGGGCTTGGGATATATGTATGATTAGATCCATATATAAAACATTTCACATCAGTTATTTGAAGTAAATCTGAATATATTTTTACATATAAAATAGTTTCCATTTAACTTATAAAGTACATATTTCACTACAAATATTTTTAAGATCTTTTCGAATTGCAAAAATAGCGCTAATTAGTTGTATTGAAGTATAAAACATTTTATTACGTTCATGTTTACTTATAAAGCGCATAACAATACTTCTCTCGCCATTTATCTGATTATAAAATTTTTCACCACATTATTTTACTGCACAGCACCCTGAATGCGGCAAAACAGTTGCTCGCAACCCTCAAGTCCTTTATGGGGACCAAATTAACAGCCAAAACAACAAAAACCTTTTCTACTGGTATACTGTGGCTTTTGTAAGGGAGTTAAGGGAGTGTCAAAACTCGAATGTCACTATTGAGCAAACCTTTACAGGCTAACCTAATATTCACGCACGCCGCCAATTTATTCAGCCCTATTCTGCATTTCGATTACGTTCCCGCATTCCGCTCCGCAAGAGTCGAACTTAGGTGTTCTGCGTTACGATCGAATCGAAAGAGGAAGAAAGAAAACATCTTTCGAAATCAGCTGTTTGCCTAGGAATGTGTGAAATCGAAACAAAACAAAAGAAATATTTGCCACCAAACTATAGCAGCTTATGAAGTTAAAGTTTGTAAATATTTTAAAATAACTAAATATATCTAACATCATTGGCGCATATTCATAGTCATATTTAGTTCACAACTAAGTCGAAACTATCCTAAGTTGCAACTAAAGCTATTCATAGTCGCTTTTTCTGGCTAAGTACCAACTTAAATTCTAGTTTCGGCTGCAGCTGCAATTAAGTCGTAACTAGGAAGAAGTATTTTATTAAATTAAGGAAAAAAAGACGAAATATGTAAAAATTAAGTTGGCAGAGCGTGCTTTTGATAATATTGAATGATCTGCAATTGAAATTTACAATGAGCGATCCATTTGAATCGGAAGATGAAATTAAATGCGTATTACAATTCGAATAAGGCTACATCACAATTTTATAATTGGAATGATTTACATATATAAATGCTCAAATAATAAGTCAATTTCATGCTTGTTCTTTTTAAGCAAATTAGTGCATAACATTTAGATATGTGTTTGTATGTTTCACAGCATGCTTTCGATAAACATCGACTTCACATCATTCCGGTAGTTTTGGCTATTTCACACAATTAACGAGAAACTTATACCTTATTATTTTGCATAATCATGCAATGAAAGTAAAAATTACATAAACGGATGATCAAACTTGACATTATTTAATAAAAATGTCATATTTCCAAAATATCGTAAAGAAAAATCGATACATTTTCACACTCGTTTTGCAATATCGTAAACCTAAGTTAAAACTACATAGTAGAAGTCTGAAATGCGACTATGAATAGAAGTGAATTTTAAGTTGGTACTTAAATTTAAGTTGCAACTTTAATAGTTTCGACTTAGTGGCTGGACTATGAATACGCGCCTACAAAACTATATAAAGACTATAGTAGTAACAATTTCAAATCGATTAAATGTTTATTAAAACTATACCTCATTGCACTAGCTTCCAAAAACAGAGAAGAAAAATAACTATGACGTACTGAGCTCTGGTTGTTGATGCAAGACTATTTTGCTGAGACTGACGCGACACACACAAGTACACCAGGTTGGGGTTACTTTAGTCGTCGCTGAAGTGTTTGCACTAGTTGGTGTCGGCTGGTGTACAGAAAAACTATCAAACTCCAGGCTGATTTTCGGCGCCGATGAAGCAACTGAGCCGAAGATATCATCAAGGTTGGCATTTGAAGTTGGTTGTACATTAATTTCTAAAATAGAAATGTAGGTCTCAATTCAGAACTTGGCAAAATATAAATTTGGATGGCCGCCTAAAAGTTTAAGACTTTTTTGAATCTACCAAATCCTTACCTAAAATATCAGGTATTGGAGCCGAGCCAATGCCAGATGAATTATCATCCCCGAATGCTCCAAGCAAAGCGAAACTAGCGTCACTCGTTGGCATAACAGTGGCTTGTGGATCTTGCACCGGCAGCTGGGGTTGGGGCTGGTTTAAATTGAGCAAGTCTATTGGTGGTGATGGTTGAGGTTGAGTTCGAGGTACATCCTCTTGCTTTATTTCGGTAGCATCTGGTAAAATAGGCGTTATCTACCGAAGCAGCTAACTTAACAAGCGTAGGTTTGTTGATGGAACTAGGTTTTGTCACTGTAGTAAGGAAAATAAATAAATTAATGACATCGGCGGAAATACTATAGGGACTTGCCGAAATTATCCACCATTTCCTCGGATTCTAATTGCGAACTAAATATATGTTGTGCGTTTCTTATGGGCTTTGCTGGTAACCAAGGAGGATTCCTACTCGGCGGACATTCGCTATCCGTGAAACTCAACGACAGCGAAACCGAAAAGTCATGAGGAACCTGATCGGCATCCGGTAAATCATCGAGATCATTCGAGGAAAATGTTATCTTTGTTTCTTGTTCCGGTATGAATCAACAGTCGGGCATATGTGTCTTTAGTTGCTGAGCCAAAGTCACAAAGTTTAAGTTGTTTATCATTTCCAATTAGAAAGCTTTCAATCTGCGAGAAGTAAAAAGAAAATCAATTACCCATAACCTACATGCAGACTTTTGGATTTATTCGCTTAAAACACGGAGCACCAAAGCAGGTTCTAGTGATGCATTCAAGCAATCCATAAGCGATCCTCCTTTATGTTTGAAAATGTACGGAAATAAAAATTAAGCTTATTTTGTTGGAGTTCATTTTACCATTACAAAGCTCCGTTAATAACAAGTATTCAGCACGCTGTTGAGGTCCAGTTGCTTTATTAATAAATGCAACAATATTTGGATGCCCAGACAGCTGTTTGTGTGTGTTAATTTCATTAATAAGTGAGACGTTTGAGGGCGTATTCTTTTCCCGTCTGCACATCTTGAGCGACACCTATACCTATTCCTATGATTATGTGTATTGTTTACAGGTATTTCAATTATTTTAATATATGGAAAATTATGGAAATTAAGAACGTAGTCTTTCCTCTTTAACAGCTGCATTACCACCGGCATGCTTGCCGCGACTTATTTTTTCCAAACCCTGTAAGCAATGTTTTTATTAATACGACACAAATTTGTTATTACTGCCACGCACTCACCAACTTAAATAATTCCACAAGCACAGTGCATGATTTACAAGGCGGCATCTTAGTTGATTTTTCCTTTTGGTCCTTTGGAGATTTGTCAAAAGCTTCCACAGCTTCACAGTTCTCAAACAGCAACACCAGCCCACATATAATTGAAAGCACCACTTTTAAACACGACATGTTAAGTTGAAAACGTTGAAATACCACAATTTACAAATTAAAATCGGAGGTAAGCAAGCATCGACCACTTTCTGCAGGAAAACATGCGCTGCGACAAGATATTATCACTTTTTCGGCACCTGCAATACAAACACAAAATTCTTTCTATTCTTTTGAACACATTTCAAGAGTGGTTGTATAATTTTGTTAACGTTGTGCTTAATTTGCTATAAGATGGCTTGAAAAATTGGCGAATCGTGAAGAAAACACGTTTTCTCATTGCAAATTCACAACTGTCAACTCATTGTTCTTCGCCAAATTCTTTGTTTACCCGTTGCCACAAATGTCATTCTGCGGGAATTCGCAATCTTGTATTCTATCGTTCTTGGTAGTGAGTGCAGGCGGCATGACCCAATAGGAGCACTGTCATGTCGGCTGGGCGGGGTTCTTGCCTCACTACTGTTCCCTGCGCCATAGCAGAGAAAAGTCATACCCGTCAAACATCTTCGCTTCGGGCTGGAAGCTGAAAAAGAAACGTTAAAATTTAAAACAAGCTGAAAATCAAAAGAAAAAAATCCAAATTACGCAAATAAAAAAAAACTAAGGCCGAATATGGTTGGAGGTCACTGGTGTAAGTGTGGCGCCTGGTGCTGACCCACCCTCACCTTGGCTACTAGCGCACTCTAATATCAGTAGCCCCTTTATTAAAGTCCCTACATGCCTTCTTAAATAACGAGAGAAGTCAGCATTCCCATTTTAATTCTACAAAAATTTATTAATAAAAATTCATCACCTTAGCCTAATTCTTAAATCTATCTCCTAACATCTAAAAATCCTAGCATCTAAAAAGAGAAGAAGGAAGTATTCTTAAATCTAAACTGATTACGTCTAAGGTAAGTACATATAAGAAAACTAAAGCAAGGTAAGTAATCTAGGTAAGTGTATATCCGGTAAGTAAAGGTAAGTCTAATTAAGTAGGTATATTTAGGATAAGTGTGTTAAGGTAGGTCAGGTAAGTGAATTCAATTTAATTTGGGTAAGTAAACTTCAAGTTTAAATAGTGGCGAATCAGCTGCCCTTGATAGTAGTTGATTGAATAAGGAAAATGAATTAGCAACAAGAGTTTATGGGGTGTACATACATAGCTCAGTGATTAAAAGGCCGTTTAGATAAAACTTTTCTCGCTTTGCTTGACAGTTCGAACTTTGAAAACAAAGCATGAAACGTAGAAGGTATGCTACAATAAACGCTTTGACAGATTTTCCGTTCTCCTTTTCCTCCATAGTTTATAGCTGTAAAATAGATAACAATATAATAATATGCATTAATAATAGGAATAATAGTTCCCATTTAGCTTATTTTTGTCATTCAATGCAAATGAGAGCGCACGAGAAAAGATCCTTGTAGACAGCTGATTGCCAAAGCGCGCAAAAGTTGAGAGTTGCCGATGATTTTGCTTCGCTTTGCTTTCCTCGCATTCTATTTAGCAAGACTCGTATAAAACCATGTATTGAACTTATCTGTCAAAGCGGAATTATGAAGCAAAGCGAAGCAAAAGTCGTACGTAAACGGCCCTTAACGCTTCTGACTTTGCACATCGATTACGCAGGTTCGATCCCTGCTGAAGTCTAGAAAACGAAGTCTGATGAGGAGATGTGGTGATCTCCGAAGTAGCTGCTATAACTTCTACCGCTTAGACCTTGTTACTTTTTGAATTTTTCCTAATAAACAATCGTGGTACGAAGCTCAATAAAAATATTAAAAATAAACTGAGTTTTTTTCCTGTATTTTTCATTTGAAATACAAACAAAAACACTGACGAAAGTCAAATAACAAAAACAATTCGGCAATGTGTTAAAGAGAAACAATTTCTGGTGAAAAGCATCTGAGTTTTGACATATCCTTACCGAAATTCAAATAAACGAAATTAAAATTTGCGTAAAACAATTTCTTACATGAAAAAATTTAATCAAAGTGGCAAGACAATAACGTATTTAATTTAATTGTATTTCCATTTTGTTTATGCTAAGAAACTAACTCGTCTGGCAAAATGCAAACAGCTGTGTAAGAAAAACGAACGAAATACAGCCATCTGTCAAAAAAACCTAACGAAATACAAGTTGGCCGGACTGTTTTTAACAACCTAGTCTGTTTTTCGTTTATTTTTTGGTATATAGCTTACTCCCTTACACAAGTACAGAAATCGTATGCAGGGTGTCCCACAAGTAACCTGCCAAACTTGAGGAGAAGGCAGGTGGGGTGGTGCGCTCCCTGATAAGCAAAAATTTTTCAAGTAAGAGTGTCACCGTTTTCGAAATATTTAAATTTTTTTGAATTAAAGAAAAATCGTGTATTTTCATGTATTTTCATTAACTGCATCTACAAACAAGGCTATACTTAGTAAATTTTTTTTGTAAAATACTTCCAGATAGTTGCTTCTCCGTATTTAAATGCAATGTAGTTAAAATATATTAAGGAACCATTATAAAATTATGACTATTTTGGGATTTTTAACTTTTTGATATTTTCTTCCTCAAATTTGACTATCTCTGGTGAAAAAAAAATGTACTGAGCTATAACTTTACATTATATAAAAAAATTGCTCATTTAATAAGTATTTCAGAAATGTGCCACTCTTACTATTTCGAATAGAATAAAAAAAGTTATAGCCGCTTTTATGGGTAAAGGACTGAGACACGCTAGAATGTATTTAATAGATTTAAATTTAAGTTGCTCTTGTTACCGACCAATGACATGCTAAATAGTACAAAGGTACATTATTACCTGCTCCTGGCATTATTTTATGTTACTTACCGGAATTCGGACTAGAGTCTATAACAAGGGCTATATCTATCAATATCTTTTGTGAAGGATGGGTTCACGTGAAATAAAACATACATGAGTTGTTTGCAGAAAAATTTATTCATTTATTGATAAAATATGCTCAAATTGGCGACCGTCTACTCCAATACAAGCAATACAAAATCTAATGGATTCAGGTCTGGCGATCGAGCAGGCCACGTGATTGGTCCGTATCGTCCATTCCATCGGCGAGGATAAGTTTCGTCTAAATGAGCTCTTACATCACGCCCGTAGTGAGCAGGACATCCGTCATTTTGCTGCCATAGTCTTTGCCGCAGGTTTAAGGGTACATCTTCTAAAAGAGTTGGAAGCCTTTCCTGAAGGAACTTTAAATAACTGTGGGAGTTGAGCGTTGGCGGCAGTTCCACAGGTCCCAATATCGGACAATTAAAAATACCGCACCATAAATTTATTTTGTACCGGTACTGCGAACGATCTTCTCTCATTTCGTGAGGATTGTCTATCTGCCAACTGTGAAGGTTATGTAAATTAAAATAACCATCACGTTTGCATGATGATTCATCGCTCCAAATTATTTTATTAAAAAAGTTGGGGTCTGAATCATGCATTCGCAACATTTCACTGCAAAATCTAACCCTCGACAGGTAATCTCTCTCTTGTAGAGCCTGAACACGTTGAACGTGGTAGGGATGGTATTTTAAAGCTTTGTGAACTGTAGTTTTTGGTATTCCAATCGGTCTTTCCATCATTCTCCCTGAAGTCGATGGACCTAGTGCCACTTCCTCTAACACAGCTTCAACATCTACCGTTGCAGGACGTCCTGTTTCGCCGCCACGCCTTCCAGGTATGCGACCTTAAAAAAGTGAAAAATGATAGTTAACAAGCAAGCAAACAAGAAAGGTGTAAAAATCACTTACCTTCATATATTTCTCTATGGGTCCGGGCGAATACTTCACGACCCGGATGCCGACGATTGGGGTATCGCTCTGCATAGAGTCTTTGAGCAGCTCTGGCATTACAGCAAGCTTCACCGTAAATTAGGTGAATATCCGCATATTCATGCGACGTATACTGCGTGTTCTCTGTCATACTATTAATAACACAATGTTCGAAGGGTCCAATTCCACAAAATCCACTTTCATTATTTCCGGTAAGTAACACAAAATAATGTCAGGAGCAAGTAATAATGTACCTTTGTACTATTTAGCATGTCATTGGTCGGTAACAAGACCAACTTAAAATAAATCTATTAAATACATTCTAGCGTGTCTCAGTCCTTTACCCAAAAAAGCGGCTATAACTTTTTTTATTCTATTCGAAATAGTAAGAGTGGCAAATTTCTGAAATATTTATTAAATGAGCAATTTTTTTATGTAATGTAAAGTTATAGCTCAGTAAATTTTTTTTCACCAGAGATAGTCAAAGTTGGGGAAGAAAATATCAAAAAGTTAAAAATCCCAAAATAGTCATAATTTTATAATGGTTCCTTAATATATTTTAACTACATTGTATTTGAATATGGAGAAGCAACTATCTGGAAGTATTTTACATAAAAAATTTACTAAGTATAGCCTTGTCTGTAGATGCAGTTAAAGAAAATACATGAAAAGACACGATTTTTCTTTAATTCAAAAAAATTTAAATATTTCGAAAACGGTGACACTTTTACTTGAAAAATTTTTGCTTATCAAGGAGCTCACCACCCCACCTGCCTTCTCCTCAAGTTTGGCAGGTTACTTCTGGGACACCCTGTATAACTTTTTCTTTCTTTCAAAATACAGTGTAAAATACACTCGAAATACAAGAAAAAAAAAGAAGTATCAAATGGGCATAAGCCTAGTTAAGTTTAGGTTCTGGTTTTATTTTCGTTTTAAGGTATTATGCCTGTCTATTATGATCGCCAACACATGACGATCCTGCCAGTTTATTAAGATCGCCAAGATGTTGGTCCTATTGGTGTTAAATGTGGTTTTTCTCAAGTGAACCTATTGTCTGATGGTGATATGGCGTGGAAAATATTTGTTTAGTGTTAAGTAGACTGCATACATTTGTGATTAGCTCATTTACAAATTCTGTCCCTCTGTCGGATTTTAATGCTTTAATGAAACCGTACTTGAGAATTATTTGTTCAACTAAAATGGTTGCTATTGTTTTTGCGTCTTTACTTACAATTGGGTGTGCTATCACGAATTTCGATAAATCACATTGCATTGTTAATATGTATTTATAGCCGTTTGATATGCGTAGTGGGCCTACCGTGTCAATCGTTATGGTTTCGAATGTTGAAATTGACGTGTCTGTCACTACAAGTGGTTCC